CGCAGTCAACAGCAGTTTGCTTGCCTTTCGGGGGAGCCTTCGTCTTCTTCCTTTTCTTCCCCACGACGACACTGAGGGGTTCCGGATCTAGGGGCCGGGAGGTGCTTGCTTCGCCGGCACCACGAAGTGGGAGGACAGCAACGGTGACTTCTTGCCTCTCCTTCTCTTCCTCTTCTTCGGCCACCTGAAGCGCGAGGGCCATTTCTTCATCCTCGGCTACCTGCTCGAACTCCTCTGCCTCCAGCTCAACCCGAAGGTTACTCTGTACCTCCTCAGCCACGGCAAGGTCATTATTGGTCGAGGACTGCTCGCTCGATGATTCCGAATCAGAAAAGCTCTCTACTGCAGCTGAGGGCTCCTTCGATAAGTCTTGTGAATCGCTGGCAGAAGACATCCTTCGGCGCTTGTATTTCGAGAAAATCGGGAGAGAAGGAATATCTAATGCCCTAACAGGACTCTAACACTAAATCTAAGGCCGAAGTAGCAAAGTATGCTAAAGAAACGAAGAACTGAGGAAGAACTGACCTTGGAAATGGGGTTTGATCGAAGCAAAGACTTTCTCTCTCTAGAAATTTTGGCAGAGCTTCGCTATCGTATAAAAACGCACAAGGGATCTAAGCTCCGCCTTGGGGTATATATAGGCTCTCAGCCTCGAGAACTGGGCCTCGATTTAAAAAGGCCATCATTACGGGCCGCCGGTTCAACCAATGGATAGCACCCGCCCCCCATCTGCCAACGAACATGCGCCACGTGGAACCCTCTCCCAACGGCTATATTACAACGACTATATTGCGGCAACACTGGGATGCCCCCGAATGATAGCCTCCGGTTAGTCACTCACCGCAGCCTTCAGGCAACGAATTCCACCAAACGCCTTCGAGCCCGTAGCAGCATAAGCCTTCGGCTTATCAATGTTATCACCCCTCGGGGGCTCATCAACTCATCATAACTCCTCCAGCCCGAACTCGCCTTCGGCCTAAAGGAGTGGGGGACTGGGATACACCCCTCGGGGATCATACATAACAAAAATTTCTCCATACAAATTGACGCATACGACCTCCGGGCAATACACCTATGCTTTCCCCAGAAAACCCTCGACATGTGAGGGACTGAGGGAAGCCTTCGGCAATCAGCAGAAGACAAGTTCTCCAGCAAAGGCACCCAGCGAGATGGTGAAGCCTCCAGAAGAATCGACACATCTACTCCTTTTCCCTCAAGTACCTCTCGGCAAAAGGAGTGAGGGACTCCTGATGGAGTATATGGCCCAGGAACCCCCGGCCCATAGACTCCTACTTCTCCTACACAAGTCCATTGAGCTCAGGAAACAACTCAGGCCCAAGTACAACGGCCCAAGCCTCAAAGTGGCCCAGAATACACACTGGGGTGCCTTCGGCTTCCTTGGCTGAAGGCTCCAAAACTCACAGGATAAGCCTTCTTTGGCACAAGAAGCTGCCGGGAGAAAACGGGCGAAAACATTAGCCTTCGGCACTACATGAAGCCCTCGGCACCAGGGGAAGCCCTCAGCTGAACCAAGCCTTCGGCTACACATCGAGCCTTCGGCCATACATGAAGCCCTCGGCTACACAAGGAGCCCTCGGCTGCACAAGGAGCTCTCGGCTACACAAGTAGCCTTCAGCTGAACTAGCTCAATCATCGAAGATTCCTTTTAGAGACAGCCAACCACCGCATTTAATGCCACGTCACATCCGCCAACCGCATTCAATGCGGTAGACGTACCACTGCCGGTGCCAACCGGCTGATGCGACCCGTCGGCCGTTGGATTACTGACACGTGTCCTCTTATCGCATTTATTGCTGCTATAAATAGCAGCCCTTATTCTCCTTGTAAATCACGGATCGACATCCCAACTCCACACGCTGAGTTCATTTAATAAAATCGACTCTCTCTCCTCCTATTTTGCTCTGACTTCTCTCTAAGTTATTCCCGCAATAACCCCTCGGATAAGATACCCCCCGGGTAGACTATCCATCAGCAGTTTCATTAGAAAGCATAGGCAATGGAGGTAGCGCCACCAGGGGTGGTGGTCTCATTGGAAGGGCAGTTTGTGCAGCTCCTAGGGGGCTGTGGGCGGTGCTAGGGAAGGTGTACAATACAGAACTTGTAATTGATTGTTTTAAAATTAAACCTAAACTCCATTAAGGGAAAATTTACCAAATGACTACAAATTGAGAACTCCTATTTGTGCACATTTTTAATTATTGTCGCCTGATCGACTAACACTTTGCAAGTGTACAAATGTCAATATAATAATAAAATCCGGTAAAAATACCAAGTCAAACACAAGGAAACATTGATTATACGATTCAAAGTTGGAAATAGTTTTGATAAAAGACTTAGGAAAAGAGTAGAGATTTTTGGGTTTCAAATGATAATGAAAGCAACCAAGGGTTCAGGATTGCTCTTAAACGACTCCTAGCGATGAATATATATATGTTCTTTCACTTCTTATGAGTAAAATGTCAAAAATAATAATTTTGAACTATCATAACTTTATATTATACTACGTAGGCGTTAGAGATGGATTAAAAATAAACCAGTGCATATTATAAGATTGAAAAGCACAAAAAACCACGGATCTAAAACAAAGTATATCATACATATCTCATCATTTTCATCATCATTTTCATTTACCCCAGTGCTGCAAAGGCTCCCACCTATAATGGGGTAAGGGAGATCGAATGTACACAGTTTTACCTCTGTACTAAAGTACAGAGAGATTGTTTCCGGATGACCCATAGTGAAAATTGTGCTCAAAATTGCATAGACTGACTGCTGCTTCATAACAAAGAAGCGCAAATAGTTCAGTGAGCCATTTTGTTTTATTCCATCATATTTTCCAGCCAAAAAGTAATGAATTTTTGGCTCCATTGCAAATGATGGAAAAAAAACTTTAAGACTTATCTTAAACATATTTATTGACACTAATAGTTATTAAGTCATATATTATTGTTATTGTGGTCATATATTAGGAACTATTATTTTTTATTTAATAACAAATCTTAACCTATTATAATAAAGGACGGGTTTTGCTATTAAATGCTTAGTTTGAGAGTTAAACCCTCTTGCACTTTGCTTTATCATGATGTACATTGTGCTATTATTGATGGACTCTACGTATTTTGCATCAGTGAAACGTTAACACATCGTTAATGGGTTAACGGTGTGAGGCTACTGGTTAAAAAAACTACTCTCTAATATGGACGGCTTCTTTTTCTGAATCCATTTGTGAAGCCAAAATGACATATTTATTCTTAGCTACGTTTCAGAAGTTAAAGAATCAAAACTACTCCGTAATTCTTATTGAATGATTTCACTTTCGAATGATTTTAATATCTTGCTCCGGTGCTTGTATAATTGGGGTGTCTTTCGGGTTCTAATCTTTTTCAGGCGGCCTGGTCAACACTTAGGTGAGTTTTCTGATTTTTTTATTTTCCCCTCCAATCATTCATGTTTATCGATCATTAGTCATTACCATAACCTCGGTAATTTCGGCCGGATATGCGGTCTATTATTTTCGTGTGTTTGTTTTCCACTTTTCTGTTTAATTTTATGTGTGCGTTCATGAATATTAAATCCATGCCACTTGAAATGCATAGTTTGAATTCACATGGATGCATTTGTTGTTACTTGGATAGGTTTAAGACTTCACATAACAATCAGAATTAACGCACGCCGGGTGTTTGAGAATATGTCAAAATAAAGCTGAATATAATTATCCAATTGCCCTGTGTAAAGATGTGGTGTTTGACTGCTCAAAAGTCACATACACTTAACGAAAGTCCATTGACATCCATCTTGAGCATCAGGTCGCATCCAGTGAACAACATGAGTTGTCTAAAGTATAAAGGAAGATATATCATTGAACTTCTGTATCACCACATTGGAATTTTGGAAGAAAAAAATAAGTTAAATAACTCTACACTTAGCACAATACCTGAAACCTTCTATCCATTCATCTATGATATCACCCATTCCATAGTTCGAAAGGAAAAAAATGGACCACCTTGAGTATTTCACAATATGGGTAAGTAACATGGTCTTTGTGTGTATCGTCTGTATTTGTGGTATTTTCATGCTCTACATTATATTCGAATGATCCTTTTCGATTTCATTTTAATATTTGAATCAGATCATTACTATAGCCCTAATCAGATCATTAGCCCTCATTTTCATGAAATGGTTACATTTAGAATTAGATCCTCACATGAATTATCCCCACATGTCTTTTGATCCTTTCACAACAACTCTTCATTTTGTCTTATGTCTTTATTATATGGTTGGTCAAAGTTTTAAAATTGACAAAGTTTTTTGGGACGGATGAAGTATTTTATACCGACACATGCTAAAAATAATTTACAAATGATGGTACAAAACTCACAAAAATCAAACAATTTTCATATTGGGCATATTACAATTGCGCAACGCGCGATCTAATTTCTAGTGATCCATATAGAGCTTGAAATAGAGAAATGTTACCAAAAAAATCTTTCAATTATTTTTTTTGATTTTATAATTGCAATATTGATGTCATATGAAAGATCATAAAAAAGTATGAGTTTAATACATTTAAAAATAACATTAAAGTAAAAATGAAAAAGTTACTCTGTATAACATTTTAAAGAAAAATGGGTTTTTTAATAATTTGGACCCCACGAATTGCATTTCTTCCGGTTATCATTATTACTCCGTAGTAGTTGGGTATATACATTGTCATTTTCGTAAAGTAGAAATAGAAGTTGCCACATGACACTTGTGTATTAAAGGAGTGAAATATGGGTAGAGGAGCATGTAGCATTCTTTGGGGGTAGAAGAGTAATTTGCACAACTATCTCCTCTTTCTTATGCTCCATCTATCCTCTTATAATTGTCTCATTTTTTCATTTTTTTGATGTTCCCCTATTATTGTCTCATACCAATATTTGATAACATTTTTATGGCTCTAATTCTTTCCAACTTTATTCTCACTTTATCAACACATTATCAATCACACAATTCTATTTTTCTTAAAAAACAACACAACTCTCTTCTGTACCAATATTAGAGGACTGAGGGAGTAGATAATAGATAAATAGAAATACAATAGATTGGCTCCAATTCTCCAAAACACTGTCCGGGTTTTTTGAAAAGACTAGTCCAAACAGGAACTAATCCTACTGTAAACATTCCTACAAGTCTACAACACATCACTTTTTTCAGTTCTGATGCAAAATTAGATTGATGCCTGGAGCCTGCCTGCCGCCAATACTTCATTGGATGTAAACCCAAACAAGAGTTTCTTGCATCTTTTTCCAAGCAAAGCAATTTCAGGACATAACTCATTAACTTGCATCAACATAATCTTTACATATTGGGAGACTGTGTAGCGGCATGATAGCTCGAGCTGCTGGAGCCATTTTTGGAAGCGGGTCTGTTCTGTTTTACCAGTGGAACCAGTGACTGCACAACATCAGCCATAAGCGGGCGGTAGTCAGCCTCTGGTTGCACACACATTGCAGCAATGGCAGCAACCTGAATCACATCTTTCATTGAGCACTGCCCTTCTAGTGTTGGATCCATAATCTCTACCACCTTTTCTCGATCGGTCAAACGAGGCAAAGCCTATCAAACAAACAAAAATACTTTCACTAATGTTTGCCTGTCGGTCACTAATGAAATCAAAATACTAAACGTTTTCCCTTTTTATCTTTCATTTGTATATAGAATATTTTAAATTATAATTAGATAATTTAGTTCACTCAACCATTTAGGCCAAACTGCACTTTAGCAAACAGGCGTTACATGAAGACAATATGAATCTACCATACATTATGTTATATATGGCGGGAAATATTCAGATGAGGTACCTACCCAAGTTACAAGAACACCTTCCCCTGGAGAACGTTTCATATCAATGGGAACCCTGCCAGTCAATAACTCCAGCAGAACAACTCCATAGCTGTACACATCTGATTTTGTTGTGAGGTGCCCAGTTAATGCATATCTACATAGAATAGAGAAGAATTAGCATACCAGTAAAGGAGATTATAGAACGACACAGAAAAATAGCAAACAAACAAATATGCCTTTATGTACTCTATCAAGAAAAAGAAGTAAAAAAAGAAATGAAATGAAAGAAAGACTCACTCAGGAGCAACATAACCTTGGGTGCCTAACACTCGAGTGGAAACATGCCCACCAACTTTTTCAGACCCAAGCTTGGCGAGGCCAAAGTCAGAAACTTTGGCATGGAAATTCTTATCCAAAAGAATGTTGCCGCTTTTAAAATCTCTGTGTATAATTGGGGGATTAACATCTTCGTGGAGATATTCTAAACCTTTCGCTGCCTCCAAAGCTATCTTTAACCGGGTTTCCCAGTCCAACTTCTGTCGTATACTGTTCGAACCTGTATAACAATTTTTCAAAGAAGAGCTACTAAAGGGCATATACAAACGAAAACAAGGAAAAAACCCATTTATATTTGGTTCATGAGGCCTAGCTACACCAAAAGGGGGAGTAGTCGGAAATCGCTGAGCTGCTGATTTTTCTAAAGAGGTATGAGTATTTCGTAACAACCATTTCAGTCAACTAAGTAAGTCAAAAGCTACTTATTCTGCTTGAACTGATTATTCTGTTGACAAGCATAATAAGCTAGAGCAGGCTACAAAATGGGTACCAGATCTATAAACCAAACTACGATTACCACTGAAGGGATACAAGTGTTCTTGTAAGCCACCATTTTCCATGAACTCATAAACAAGCAACTTGTGGTTTTTCTCAGAGCAGTAGCCAATGAGTGACAATAGATAAGGTGACCTCAACCTGCTCAGTAAGTCCACCTGGTAATCAATTTCAACAAAACTAACCATCAAAGTTTAAAAAGAGTATACCATGTAGGCAAGTTTTAAGGAAATGGTTACCTCCACTTGAAACTCCTCCTCTCCTTGCTTTCCAGAATGATCCATAAGCTTAACTGCAACCTTCTTCCCATCTTGGAGAGCTCCCCTGTACACCGTCCCAAAGGCACCATTTCCAATCACATTAGACTTGCCAAACCCACCAGTTGCGGACTGAAGCTGCTTGAAGGTGAAAACCTGAACTCCCTTATCCACAGTAACTTTGAGATTGGAAATGCCACTTCCTTTATCTACACATTCACCCTCCTTAACTGGGATGTCAATAGGATCAGAAACGAAGAAGAAATCAATAAATTAAAGTACCCCGTAGTAGACAAATTTCAACCTAAATCTCAAATCTTCATTTAAAAAACGGATTTTCAAATTTCAAACGGCATACATGAAATAAACCACACATTTAAACATCACAAACTCAAAGTTGCACCTGCATCTCCGTGAAAAGCAAAAAGAAAAAAAAAACCCAAACAGATTCTTAGCTAGAAATTTATACTTTTCTCGTTCTTTAGGCGATAGGCGGAGACTTTGCTGCGGAGGTAGCAGTAGTAGCTGAATGCAGCAAGGCAAGAAGCAATGGCGAATGATGCGAACACTAGGATCGTAACAAGAGCAGTCATCTCTTTCTTCTTGTAATCGTCATCCTGAGCTTCCATTGTTGATTCCAAACAGAGAAATTCTGACCCGTTTTCAGGCCCGGAAAGCGGCTGGGAGGAGAAACAGAGTAGCCATTGGTACGGAAAGAGAGAGAGAGAATGTGTGTGAGCTACAGTATCTCCAAGTGAGGTTTGTGTGTTGTCTGGTTTCGAGAGAGCGAGGGAGATAATAGCAGTTGTAGTTGCTTTAACCTCCATTATTGTTACCTTATTACATCGTATTAAGCAAAGGTTTATCATTGTTGTGGCCGAAAAGGCCAAAGATTGGATGAATGAAAATGAGACATGGAGATCAAAGAAGTTAATGAAGTTTTGACTGACCAGTGGAATTAATTGAATTTACCTATATTCTTTTCAAATCTTTGTATCCACTCTTATACTCACTTTTGTACTCACTCATGCTTGTGAAGTGTTTTTTTTTTCTGTGAACTCCAGTTCACAGACAATATTTTGCAAAAACAAAATGTTGTCTATGAACCGGGTTCACAGACAAAAAAAAAACTCTACAAACATGGTGGGTATAAGGTGGGTATAAGAGCGGGTACATCAAACATTGTTGTCTAAATACCTATAAAATAGGTTTATGCAACTTCAAAATGAATGAGTTTTTGTCTCTCTAATCTCCAATTTATCAATTAATTCTTGAAATATGACTTTTTTATGTAAAATACATTTTTATTACTCCTCCGTTCCAATATAAAGAGCACATTTGTCTTTTCAATTTTTTAGGAAGAACACTGTTTGACACTGTTTTACACTGTTTTGCATTGTTTTGTTTGCCAAAAAGGGAAATGTGTCTTTTATATTGGGACGGTCCGAAAAGGAAAATGCGTCTTTCATATTGAGACGAAGTATTTCACATTAACTATTAGTCTTCTGTCACCGTGAGATAGAACTTGATCTTCTTTACACCGTGAGTAAAGATGAAGTTGGGCGTTTTCATCAATAATCTTTTAGAGTAACTTCAATCAATTAAGTAAGAAGCTGAACCATCATCTTACTTATTTTGATTATTATACAACTCAACGCGTGAAGTCAAATGTTACATGTAATGTCAAAACTTTATTGATAAGACCGATAAATAAAAAATACTACGTATGAATAACCAAACGGACCCCGAGTCATCAATTATAATACCTTTGTACAAGGCATACACATCTTCGTCTTAAATGAGATTATCGTGATTTTGTTCTTAAATAGGATTCATTAATCTATAATACTACCATATCATTTGAAAATAGAATAAGAAAAATACATTATTCTATTCATTTCCAATGATTAATTGCTCAGAGTACTTGTTACACTTGGAAAAATATATAAATCGGGTGATATCACTTGAAGAGTAAATATTAATATGTTCCTTACAAGACAATAATAATCTTAAACTGCTGCTTAGTTCATGTGGAAAATTACTCATTTGAGAGATCATGGAAAAAGAAATAAGCTTGTGAGTGCTATATTATGTTACTATTCTGAGTCGATATTTTACTCAATAGTCATTAATTAACAACCCAATTTCAATGGCGAATTTATGTTCTGATGTTCGAACAACTAATGCTCAAAGTCCCACTTTATTAATTACTACGTATAATTTTCCTATCATTTGGATAAGTTGATCATATATTAGTGTTGTTCTATGTATTGTGTTCTCTATAGCTTGTGATATATTAGTGTTGTTCCCTATAGCTTGTATTGTTGTTCTAGGTAGCTTGAACATCATTTGAATAGTTTTGCGGGTATTAGGCCATCTCCAACAAGCACCATTTGCCACACCAAAATGGTGTATTTTGCAAAAAAATGCTCCAACAATAGCACCAAACACTACACCATTACACCAAAATGGGGGAGGGAGGATAGCTTCACGCCATATATGGCGTACGCTATATATTACACCATCCCACTTTTTTGCTTTCTTTTCCTTTTAAATGTTACCTTCAAGTTTCAATTATTATAGTTTTGACCCATTTTTAAAATAGCAAATTAGGATGTTTTAGTTGGACTAAAATTGGTTTGTCCGCTCTGGTCTGGTCTGGTCTGATTTGATCTGGTCTGATCTGAAATGATGTGGTCTGGTCTAATTTATTTGTATTTTTATAACTACTCAAGTGTGGTCTAATCGGGTCTTATCTGATCCTGAGACAAACTACAGTCCAAGTAAAAACATCCTTATAGAACAACAAATTAAAATTATTAATTTGATAGAAAAAAATATAATAAAATTTAAATCACACAATATTATAAATAAAGTTTCAAATCCAAACAACACTCTAACAGAATACAAATGATACTTAAGGAAATTGCATAATTAAAATTACAATTAATAACACCATTATAATTAAAATTAAAACATAATTAAAAACATACATGGTACATACTAATTTAGAAATTAGTAGTCATTCAACCCGCTTCCAGACCCACCGAGACCATCAAACAAATTCCCAAATCCAGCTGATGATCCTCCTTCTTGAGATTTTTTTTGTAAAATTCTCGATCTTTCTGCCATGATATACGCTCGCGTTTGTGGATCGTGAATAGAATTCAAATCCATGAACATTATTTTATCTTCTCTTTTCTGTTCTTTGTATGCCATATTTTGTCGCTGTATTTGCAATTGTTCTTGTCGATCTAACGACGATTTCTTCAACATGTCTATTAGTTGCTCATTGTCGCTCTTAACCGACTTAAGCAAAATAGTGGTGTCTTCATCATTTTTCTTCTTTAGTTTGGCTTTTTTTACCCCTATTGGGCGTGTTGAAAAATCTGACCCAGAATCAGTATCAACTTCTTTATTGAACGAAGATGACAATCCAGGTGATGAGGAAATTGGAGATGGTGGATGAGAGTCTGATTGGGAAGAGTCGTAATTAACTTGTCTTTTTTTTGGAGCAGCATGTCTTGCAGTTGGCACATTATCTTTAAATTTTTCAAAATTTGGATCTTGCATAAATAAAACTTTAGCACGATCCAGCTGCATATCATAAAAATTAATTTGTATTACATAAAAGTAAATAAATTATTGAAAATTAAAATTATACAAAGTATTATACTTACAATATCTTTTTCTGAAGCACCACTTGGGTTTAAATTCTCAAGTTGCTTCACACACCCATTTAGCTTCCGTGCTTGCGTACTTATTGTATCCATTCTTGAATGCAGTGAACGTGTATTACGATGCTCTTGATTTTGTTGACGCTGTTCGTTGTACTTAGCCTCAACTCGTGACCAGAAATCATTTGCAGATTGATATCACGCACTACTTACAATGTCAGATGCAAGTGGGTAGGGAATCATTACATTACCCGATGGATGGATTTCCTTTTATTCAAAGCCATCGGATTCTTATCTCTTGAGATAAGCGTACTACTTGTCACACACTACTTACAATGTCAGATGCAAGTGGGTATGGAATCATTACGTTACCCGATGGATGGATTTCCTTTTATTCAAAGCCATCGGATTCTTATCTCTTGAGATAAGCGTACTACTTGTCACGCACTACTTACAATGTCAGATGCAAGTGGGTAGGGAATCATTACGTTACCCGATGGATGGATTGCCTTTTCTTCACAACCATTGGATTCTTATCTCTTGAGATAAGCGTACTACTATTAATATGAACAAATTAACACATCAGATGGATCACCACATAAAAAAATGAACTTCAATATTGGAGCGTCCTCTTACATATCATCGTCTTCTTCTTCAGATGATGATGCTTTAGCGATGAACACTATAGCACAACTTGATGAAGAAGAAGAAATCATGATGGTGGCACTAAAAAACAACAACATGACAATAAGTCATTGTATTGGTGAGCTGAATACGCCTATTAGGCATGGTGGATCTGTTCATGGTCATGTGGTGATAGACCGTGATCGAGAAATGGGAGACCATAATTTGTTCATGGACTATTTCTCTCCAAATCCACGTTATGGAGAAGCATTATTTCGCCGACGATATCGTATGTCCAGAGATTTGTTCCTACAAATAGTTGGTGCTGTTACAAATCATGACAACTATTTCCACCAACGAAGAAATGCAACACGTAGACTCGGATTATCAGCTTTACAAAAAATAACAGCTGTATTTCGTATGTTGGCATATGGTGTGCCCGCGGATGCAACAGACGAGTACGTTAAAATAGGTGAGTCTACAGCAATTGAAAGTATGAAAAGATTTTGTCGATCTATTGTCCAAATATATGGAGGGCAGTATCTAAGAAGACCTAATGACAATGACATAGCGAGACTTCTTGACATTGGAAAACAACGTGGATTTCCAGGAATGTTGGGGAGTCTTGATTGCATGCATTGGAAATGGAAAAATTGTCCAACAGCATGGGCAGGACAATATTCTGGTCGTAGTGGCTCACCAACTATCATCCTTGAAGCTGTGGCAGATTGTGATCTTTGGATATGGCACGCATATTTTGGAATGCCAGGTAGTAACAATGATATTAATGTTTTAGAGGCATCCAATCTTTTTTCAGATTTAGCACAAGGAATTGCTCCTCCCGCTCATTATATTATTCAAGGAAAAGAGTATAATGTCGGTTACTATTTAGCGGATGGTATATATCCAAAGTGGTCAACACTTGTTCAAACAATTCATCAACCACAAGGTAGAAAGAAAAATATTTTGCCATGAGACAAGAAGCATGTAGAAAAGATGTTGAACGTGCCTTTGGAGTATTGCAATCCCGATTTGCAATTATCGCAGGACCTTCACGTTTTTGGGAGAAAAAAGTCTTACATGACATAATGAGTGCATGTATTATTATGCATAATATGATAATAGAGAATGAACGTGATATACATGCATTGGTTGAAGATGTGAGAGATACACCAGTTCCAGATATTGAAGTGGCAGTTGATGAGGCGGCACGGTTCACTCAATTTCTTAGCCGACATAACCAAATACACGACAAAGACGCTCATATTGAGCTCCGCAATGCTTTAATTGATCATTTGTGGGAACAATTCTCAAATTCCGATAACTAAAGTAAGAATGTTTATTTAATCTATAGCTTTAAGTTTAAGTAGTACTTTATTAAATTATTAATGACGTATAAATTATTATAATATTATTGTAATATTTAATTTTATGTGGTTTTAGCTTGTATTTGTGAAATATTGATTATTGTATTTTAATTAGTGAGATGTGTGAAAATACATATTAAAATGATGTATTTTAATTTGTATGTGTGAAATAATGTGTGAAATGTCAAAATATTAAATGAGGG